TTAAAGGCAGAGGGAAAAGCAAGCAGGAGCAAAGGCCCTGAGGTGGGAGCTTGCTTGGTGTGTGGGGAACAGCAAGAAGGCCAGCGGGGCAGGAGCAGAGTTGCCCAGGGGCTGGTGGCGGGCGGTGAGGTCAGGGAGGGCCTGGAGGGCCACAGAGAGGACTTCTGGCTTTTTCTCTGAGAGAGATGAGAGCCACGGCAGGGCAACTCCAAGCAGAGGAGGGTCCTGGGCTGACTCGGGTTGCAATAGGATCCTTCTGGCTGCCATGAGGACAGATTGAGGGGAGGGGGCAAGGACGGCAGTGGTGAGGAGGCTGCTGCCATTGTCTAGGCCATCGATGGTGGCAGTGGCAGTGGACTCGGAGAGGGGAGGTCAGATTCGGGCATATTCTGAAGGTGGAACTCACAGGGTTTGCTGCGAGATTAAACAAAGTAGGACGAGATGACGAAGTACTTGTTAGGAATCCACACTAGACGAGCTCACAAAAAGTAACTTGACAATTGGTGTTAGTGTCGTGGTTAAGAGCCGGGATTCAGAGCCAAGTGGCCTACATATAAATGCAGTTCCATTGCTTACTGGCTGTGTGACCGCAGGCAGGTCACTTCCTCTCTTTGCTTTCATTTCCTCACCTTTGAGATGGGATGGCAATATTATCTACCTCACAAGGCTGCTGTTGAAAGGATTACACAGGTTTTATATTAACGTAAAGTGCTTCTGGCTGGGCACAGTGGCTCACGCCTATAGTCCCAGCACTTTGGGAGGCCAAAGTGGTGGATCACATGAGGTCAGGAGTTCGAGACCAGCCTGGCTAACAAGGAGAAACCCCATCTCTACTAAAAATACAAAAATTAGCCAGGTGTGGTGGTGCATGCCTGTAATCCCAGCTACTTGGGAGGCCGAAGCAGGATAACCGCTTGAACTGGGGAGGTGGAGGTTGCAGTGAGCCGAGATTGAGCCACTGCACTCCAGCCTGAATGACAGTGAGACTCTGTCTCAAAAAAAAATAATAAATTAAAATGAATAAATAAAGTACTTCAAAGAGTGCCTGGCACAAATAAAGTGCTTGTTATTAGTGACATGACCGTAGGATGAGAAGAAGGGTCAGGGAAGTGAGTCATAGCAGAGAGCATTCCAAATACCAGGAACATTTTGTACAGTTTTCAAAGGATGTGACAGGAAGCCAGCAGGGCTGGAACACAACCTGATGGAGTAAGAGTGCCAAGGGGTGAGGGTGGAGAGGAAGCCTAGGAGGATATCAACCCCTCACAGCAGCTGGACACCATTGCAGACCTTGATGCATGTAGCAGTCCTGGAGGTCGGAATAGACCACAGGAACAGAACTACATCTGGGACTTAGTGCTGGGGGTGCACAGAGCCAGGAGAGGGATGGGGCATTATCGTTAACAATGCTGGCTGGTTACCAGGGGTTGGCGGTTTCCAGTGTCCAGGATAAGAAATAGTCCAGTTTGAGCATTAGGACAAATACCTAATGTATGCGGGGCTTAAAACCTAGATGGCAGGTGCCACAAACCACCATGGCACCTGTATACCTATGTAACAAACCTGCATGTTCTACACATGTATCCCAGAACTTTTTTTTTTTTTTTTCTGAAACGGAGTCTCACGCTGTCGCCTGGGCTGGAGTGCAGTGGCGCAATCTCAGCTCACCACAACCTCCGCCTCCCGAATTTAAGCAATTCTCTTGCCTCAGCCTCCTGAGTAGCTGGGATCACAAGCACACACCACCACGCCCGGCTAATTTTTTGTATTTTTAATAGAGACAGGGTTTCAGTGTTGCCCAGGCTGGTCTCAATCTCCTGACTTCGTGATCCACCCACCTCGGCCTCCCAAAGTGCTAGGATTACAGGCGTGAGCCACTGTGGTGCGGCCTGCCCAGAACTTAAAGTGAAAAAAAAACACCCAGAAACAGTCCAGTTCAACTTTCCACTGGAGTCCAAATACCAGTTCTAATATTGTCTACATCTGTGGCCATGGGCAGTAAATCCCTTCTGGAGTTCACTTTCCTTATCTTCAAAATGGGGCTTAATGTCACACCTACCTCCTTAGGTTTGTGATAGTACACATAAGATCAGTATGGTCAGCACTCAGTAATACAGGGTGTCACCACAACCAGGTGGGACCTATCCCAGGACAGCAAGGGTGGCTTGACATTTGAAAAGCATGAGATGTAGTTCAACTTATTAGCAGGAAAGAAAGAGAATCAAAGGCTGTAATCACCTGGGACTGTGATATCAGACCCAAGGGCTAAACCCTTCCAGACCTGCAGTCTAGCCCTGAATGCCTCGGTGGGCAAGCTGAATTGAGATCTTAAGACCAGAGTGACCCTAGTCCTACCCCTGTGAAGTGATTTCTGCTAGCTCTGAATCCGTGGCTGATGGGCTTCAATGGCCACCTTATCCTCATGCTCAGCAGTCCAAGGCTTTGTGCACCCTGGTTTCAGTTCAAATTTATTTTTCACACCTGCCCCCCAGCAACAATAATCAAACTACCTTTTTTTTTTTTTTTTTTTTTT